GAAATATATAGGAAGCCAATGCCAACATCAAGTTAAACGGAGAGAAACGTAAAGTGTCCCTGCTAAAATCAGGGACAAGACAAGGCTGTTTATTCTCAACATATCTCATCAATACAGTACTTGAAGTTCTAGCTAAAGTAATAAAACAAGTAAGGGAGATCAAGGGGATAGAAATTGAAAGAGAAGTCAAAGTATCATTACGTGTAGATGATATGAGAGCATACATGAATGAACCCCGAAGATTCTACCAGAGAACACCTACGGCTGATAAATACCTTAAGCAAAGTGTATGGATATAAAACTACCTCGAAAAATCTGTAGCCCTTCTTTATACAGGTGACAAGTTCTGTGAAAGAAATAAAGAAAGCAACTCCCTTCATATTAGCAACAAATAACTCTAACCAAGCAAGTGAAAAACCTGTATGACAAGAACTTCAAGTCTTTGAAGAAAGAAAATGGCCAACCTACCAAAAGCCTTCTACAGATTCAATGCAAGTCCAATCAAAATTCCAACATCATTCTTTACAGACCTAGAAAGAGGAACCATTAACCTCATCTGAAAAAATAAAAGACCCAGGATATATACATATATCTTCTGGTGTTATCAACATCCCTGATCTCTGATCTCAAGGTACACCACAGAACAACAGTAATTAAATTATACATGGTACTGACATAGAAACAGGTTGATAAATGGAACTGAATTGAAGGCTCAGAAGTAAACCACACTCCTAAAGGCAATTGATTTTTGACAAAAAAGCCAAAATCATACAATGGACAAATAAAGCATCTTCTATAAAAACTGCTGGTATAACTGGATGTCTACCTGTACAAAAATGCAAATAGACCAGTATTTATCATCCTGCACAAACTAAAGTCCAAGAGGATCACAGACTTTGACATAAAACCTGAGATGCTAAACATATTAGAAGACAAAGTGGGGAATAATGTGAAACTAACTGTCATAGGAGACAACTTCCTGAACAGAACAGCAACAGCGCAAGTTCTGAGATCAGGAATGAATAAATGGGACCTCATGAAAAGCTTCTGTAAAGCAAAGGACACCGTCATCAGAACAAAATGACAGCCTACAGATTGGGAAAATATCTTCACCAACCGTACATCAAACAGAGGGGCAATATATAAAATGTACAAATAACTAAAGAGATTAAACTCAAACAGAAAAATAATCTAATTGGTACAGTGCTAAAACTGAGAATTAAAAATGGAGGAATGTTGAATGGCTGAGAAGCACTTAAAGAAAGGCTCAATGTCCTTTGACATCAGAGCAATGCAAATCAAAATGACTCTAATATTTTCATCTTACACTAGTCAGAATGTTCCTTTTCTGGGGGGATGGGCGGAGAGGGAAAGAGGACAGGACAAGTGGATAAGGGGGACAATAACCCAGAGAAAAAACCCTTGATCCAAAAATTACTTTGTGTACAAGAAGTGCAGGAATAATGAGGGAACAGAAATTGAGGGAAAGTCCAACAAATAATTGGCCCAATCTGAGATCTACCTCATGGTAGAGAGCCAGCCTCTAATACTATTAATGATACTTTGCTATGCTTGCAGAAAGGAATTAAACTTGACCATTGTCTACCAGGATCCAGCCAGCAGTGGATCTAGACAGATGCCTGGGCATGCAGCCAAGGATGGGGAAGAGCTCTAGGGGACCTGTAGAAGTGCTGGGCAAAAGATGGAAGGACCTGGAGGCAACAAGAACCTCACAAGAAGACCAACAGAGACACCAGATAAGGGACTTTCATGGTCTGGACCTAGGACCCCTGCACAAGTGTGGCTGATGGGCAGCTAGGTGTTCATGTGGATTACATGGCAAGTGGAGGGTGGCTGTTTGTAACATGGACTCTACCCTAACAGGTTTGCCTTGCTTGACCTCTTTGGAAAAAGATATGCTCAGTCCTGATGTGATTTGATGTGCTGGGGGAGACTGATATGGGGAGGGAATGCCCTTTTTCTGGGGGAGGAGAGAGAATGGAATAAGGGGAAGGAAGGGGCACCCTTGGAATGTAAAACAACTAAACTGAAATAAAAAGATATGCTTATTAAACAGAAATGGTTTAGTGTCCAGGTGGGTTACATAGTAATGGGAAGAGGGACTGCCTCTGACATAATCTGATTGGCCTGCTCTTTGATCACCTCCCATTAATGGGGAGCAGCCTTACCAGGTCACAGAAGATGACAATGCAGCCACTCCTGATGTGATCTGATGGACTAAGATCAGAAGGAAGGAGAGGAGGACCTCCCCTATCAGTGGACTTGGGGAGGGGCATGTGTGATGAAAGGGGAGGGAAGGTGGGACCGGGATGGGGGAGGGGCTTATGGGAGGATACAAAGTGAATAAAGTGTAATTAATAAAATTAAATTAAATTAAAAAATAAACAGAAATGGGTAATAAAGACCCCCAAAGAGAGATTACACAGTGCTTTATTAATCTTACATTTTTAAATGCAAAAGAAAAAGGAACTATAGCTGTAGAGAAGCCTAATATCTAATATACTGTCAACCAAAATGAATCAAAAGAGTGGGGAAAGGACACTTCATTTTCATCAAAGATGAATCCATCATGGGGACATCCTGTGTGCCCCAAATGCAAGGGCACACACATTGTAAAAGAAACATTAGTAAAGATTAAATGAAACATTGATACCCAAACATTAATAGTGGTGACTGCAACTCCCACTCTTACTTATGTACACATCATTGTGACAGAAAACAAATAAAGAAATAACAACAATAACAGATGTCTTGAAACAAATTATCCTAATTTTATCTACAGAAATTTGCACCCAAACACACACACACACACACACACACACACACACACACACACACACACA